TATATATATATATATATATATATATATATATATATATGCTTAATGAACACTCAAAAGGCAAGGATTTGTAGAACTTGGGGAATAGCGTTTTTTTTTCTTCTGCAGAAATCTGTCCAGATTCTGTGTGAGCCTGAAGGTGAGTTTCTAATATATGCCGACTTGGAATCTGTGGCCTTGGAATTCCACAAAGCTCAGTGGATTTTGGCAGATTGCACATCCTGATTGTATTTATTTATTTTGGCAACTTTCAGTGTTTGACATCTCTGTTTTACACATTTTGCATATTCAAATCTATTTCGCAGATGTTAGGCTCGTCAGGATGCTCAATCAGATTAATGTCTCGATAGCACCAGTGTTTACACTTTTTGTGGGAATATGCCTACAAATGCCTTTTATATAGTCTCTGCATATTAAGCTGTGAGTATTTCAGCATCAGAAAATTATATTTTTCTTTTACATTTCCCCACAGATGAGCTATCAGAAAAAGTTGCGAGCAGTCAAGTAACCGATAACCACATGCTCATTTGTTTTGTCTGAAATGAGCATCACTAGATAACTGATAGTTTGGAGATTACCGCTGGTTTCACTCTCCCCACGGCCGCTTGTTTAGCCGCCTCTTCTGGCTGCACGTGGTTCCTGGCACACACTCTGTCTTTATTAATGGGCTCCATTAGGCTGTTTAAGCAGCAGCCGCTCAGTGGACTCCCACAGCTGGTTGTGACTGATCGTCAAGCTCATCCAATTAGTTTGGCTCGGCTCACTCTCCCTCCACCTCGTGTCCTTGCTGTGACACCTGCGCGAGCCTTTTGCCACTTTTTCCATCGATCTTCTGCATGACCACTACTCACTCGAAACTCATTATGAGACTTGTGCAATACAAGTGGATCGAGAAAGAAGTGGCCACTGCAAAAGGCAGCCGCTCTGGTCTCTCTCTGTCCATGTATTCCCAGGGCATGTTGGTGCGCAGATGGCTGTGTGATATTAACCGTGTGACACGGAGGCTCTTTGATTGATGGCTGTTTGAATAAGCATCCGTTGAGAGCCACATCGTAAATCAGGATGAATATTCCGATTGCGCACAGGGAAACGGTTTCTCGAAAGCCTGCTAAAGATACCACAGTTAGGAAGATGTAATTTGGTATCGTAATAGCAGACAAACATTCCCTTCACTTGTCACTCATTGACTCTTGGATAAAAAAGCAATTTCATCGGTCTTGTTCAGCCTGAAAATGGAGATCTCAGCCTCTTTGTAAAGCTATTGTTTGCCAGGTATTGAAAACTATAATTGTTGCACAGCAGTTCTCAGCTACGGTGAGTCACTCAAATCAATCTTGTTTCATAGCTTCACTCCCCCAGTAACTGAGCTACAGCTTTTTTGAGCTAGACAAATGATTTCTCGAGAGCTCTACATTTCATACACATACACACTACTTTCATCCATGACCCTGAGTTCACCACTTTTAAATTAAAATGTTTATCAGCTGTGGTCTCCATTCAGTAGTGCCTTACATATTTAAAGGTGCAGTGTGTCATATCTGCTCCACTAGTACCACCAAACAGAATCGCGATTTCTCGATTTCGTTCTATTGTGGCGATAGGGTTGCTATACAGTTGCTAGGGTGCTCTGAAAGTTACATGTATTTAAAATGTTGCTGTGTGGTTGCTGTGGAGTACTAAGTGGTTTTATCTTAAGTAGTAGATATGTGGTTTCTAGAGTGTTCTGAGTAAATTTTAGCATTTTTCTAGGGTTCTTTAATGCTTTGACACAATCAGTATTGTATAAAGTGCTATACAAATAAAGGTGACTTGACTTGTTCTGCGGGGGGTTTTGTGTGTGTGTGTGTGTGTGTGTGTGTGTGTGTGTGTTGCTATAAGGGTTGCTAGGGTGGTTTGAAGTTTGTGTGGTTGTGTGGTTGTCGTGGCGGTCTGACCCTTATTAAAATTGACCATGGTTTTATTATAGTAAAAGTGTAGTAACCATAGTTTTTTGGCTGATTGATTACTATTTGTATAACCACAGTTTTACTACAAATAATACCACAATTAAACTATGGTTAGGGTAGCTAAACCATAGTTAATTTGTGGTTACCATGGTTTTTTTTTCGTGTGTGTTCTATGTTGTTTTAATATGTTGCCATTCGGTTTCTAGTGTGTTCGGAGTGATTTTTAGCATGTTGTTAGGATCTTCTTCAGTGATTTTAGCATGTTGTTGTGTGGTTGCTAGGGGGTTCTTTGAGGTTTTTAACGTATTTCTATGCAAATTGGTGTTCTGAGTGGTTTTTACATGCTGCTATGTGTTTGCTTGGGTGCTCTGAGTGGTTTTTAAAATGTTGCTGTGTGGTTGCTGTCTTTGGTGTTCTTTAGCGTGTTACTATGCTTGGGTGGTTTGTATGGATTTTAACACGTTGCAGTTGCTGGAATGTTCTAAGTGGTTTTAACATGTTGTTTTGTGGTTTTTAGAGTTACAGCATGTTGTTAGTGTGTTCTTCAGTGATTTTTGACATCTTGCTAGAGTGTTGTTGTTGTTGTTTTAATGTTGCTATGCAGTTGCTGGGGAGTTTTAAGTGTTTTAACATGTTGCTGTGTGGTTTCTACAGTATTCTGAGTGATTTTTAGCACATTATGTTGTACTTCCATGGTTTTTAGCATGTTGGTGTGTGGTTTCTAGAGTATCCTGAGTGTTTTTTTAGCATGTTGCCGTGCAGTTGCTATGTTGTTCAAATCAAAAGACCCCGTTCAAAGGTCTATGATATTCTGGTCCTTAGATGTGGCTCAGTTCTCTCCTTCGTTGTAAGACTATGGGATTTACAAACTCCTGCCATTGGTTGAGACAATATTTGAGCTGCTCAAACATGCTAGTGGTGCAGATATTACACCCTGTACTTTTAAGGAACTAGCTGGATAAGAGTTTACATGTGTTAAGCTGAAGTGTTTCCTGAAGGTGTGAAATCTTGCTGTGTGCTTTCAACATTCTCATATTCTGTTCTTTTAGTTCTCAAGGTCACAAGAGGTTTGCAGACTGTGAGATCAGTGGTGTTTCATCTCAGAGATTGATGGATAGTTGTTTGCCTCTCAGCTCATCTAACACTCCTTTATTTGTTTTTGTCCACAGACTCTGAATAAGAACAATTTGCTGCCAGATGAGAGGACCAACTACTTCCCTTCACCGCTTCAGCAGACGAACGTGTACACCACCACATACTACCCCACAGCGCTGGGCAAATATGACTACCGGGCAGACTCCTCACCGTCTCCTTGCAGAACCTATAACCACAGCTGAGGCACGTGTCCCATCCGTAGCTTTATCACCATGGTGACAAGGCTGCTCCGTACATCTCCTAAAACCCTCCACTTTCCCCACCCACACACTCTGCACCCGATGAGGTGCTTGTTCCAACATTCCAGCTGATTTTTTCCCTAAGATCTCTTCCCTGACGACCGCGTCACCTAAGTCATGCCTTACGGTGTCCAATGAGGGGAAAGTCCAGTGATTCAAACAGCACTTTTTAAAGATTGTGTAGCTACACTGACTTTGATAAACTGGTGTCTTGATTGATCGCTGCAGAACTCCTGTTACTGGAAAGAGGTTTTGCTGAAGCTCAAGTTGGGAAGACAAAATTGCGCTGGCATCCCGTACCACTCCAACAATATCCATTACAGGAAATGCAATCTGCCACACTGTGGCAGTTCTTTTTGAAACTACAGAAGAAGAATAGACGGACACCAGACAAAAGAGAGCAATCAATGGTGACATTATTAGGTTTGGTCAGAACGGCAGAATTGTGTTACCTTTGGATGTAAATGTAAGGATGTCCCACTGACTTCCAACCTTTGAGGGGCAAATCTCTGACAAAAGAGGATGGGTTGCAGGATCAATGCATCTCCTGGGTGAATCGTTCGGAACCAAGCTGCAGAAAAAAGAACAGCTTAAAATAGGATGCTATTCAGAACGGACTCTTATCAGAACTGAAACATAGATTTTCAGCACGTTAAAAGGCCAGAAGAATGCGTCATTATTTCCCTGAAAAGTCGAAATGCCTTTTTTACTTGCGAATGCATGGGAATCGAGGAATATTGCACCAACATGGAATATGCTTAGGTCTGAAGCAAACATGCTCTGCTCTGTTACTGTAAGTCCCGGTGGTCATATTAAATATGACTGGGTTCAAACTGAGACGGACTATATTTTATTATGAAAAAATGTAGGAAATATTGATAGCTTGGCACTTGTTTTATACGGTTATTTTAAAGAGGGAATTATTCAGCAGTTGTAGTATATAGATGGACAATAGAGTTTATTTAAGATACAAGTACAAACATTGACGGCGCTATACTGAACATTTCATATATAATTTTTTCTTATTGTTTCCAGATGGTATATTCCTAACCATCATCACATTCATCAGAGATATGAGCGAAGGTGTACACTCTTATATGAGCATCATATATTCATAAAATTGCCCAGAGAGTCAACTCATGCAGAAATGATCAATGGATCACTGTCTTTTTCACATCAAACAATATCTAAAAAATGAATCTTTGTGCAGCACTATGTGCCTAACTCAGATTTTATTTTGCCCATGTGTTGACATGCTTCCCAGCGGCATCACGCCCACATTCCAGATGCAACTCTCCAGTTATCGATAAAAACGATTCAGGAATGGCAACGGTCACCGGTATCTAGTATTTATGGTATGCTTGGTTTCTAAAGGGCATTGAAAACTAAACTAAGCTATTTTATCATGCTCGTCTAATGAATGCTAAGCCAGCCATGCTTTCAGCTAAGCATGAGTACATGGGTTGTAAATAAGTGACGTCCCACAGCGAAAAAAAGTAATGCCACGCAAAGGATAGTATAATGTACATGTATATTGTAAAGCTAACACTGTTTTGTAAACGCGTTATAGTTGTAAAATAATATGTGCAGCAGCTGTGTAAATATACCAACCGTAGGGATTGTGTGGGGATGGAGCCTGTCAGTGACAAGAGTTTGACTGCAATAGAGAGACCATCTCGTGGACCAACCCTGATCGATAACATCAAAGATTATTCATTAGAGTTCCCACTAAACTATTACAGATCATTTGTACTTTTTATTCATCTTATTCATATGAATTGATTTTTGCCGTTTACATGACAAGGTTCACAAAATTAACATGAATTAAGTTGCTGCAATATCATATTCAAATACAGTCTTAAATTGTTTTGATGCTGTTTGATTCTGTTCAAATTATTTAATAGGGACCTTTTCTTTGAAAACAAAATCTACAGAGGAGTCAAAAAATTTTCAGAGTATTACTGAAAATGAAAATGTTCCTATTTTCCATTTTATTAATTACATTTTTATTGCCAATTCTCTCTCTCTCTTTCTATATATATATATATATCTTAAATATATGCTCACATACCAAGCCTTTTCATTGGAAAAAAAAAAAACTAAAATCCAGAAAAGTTTATCAATTATTTTTTTAAATAGCAAATTATATTATCAACATAATTTTGAGTACAAAGTGAAAACGTTATTTCCAAATTTACCTGAAGTAACTCCCAGATTTTAATGATATGTATATTGCTGTTAAAGATATGCTCGCGTACCAAGCTTTTTCATTGAAAAAGATCTACAAAAAAGAGTCCAAAAATCTGAGCGCATTACTGAAAATGTTCCTAATTTGCATTGTATTAATTACATTTTTATTGCAAATTATATATATATATATATATATATATATAAAATATTCAGAAGTTTTATTTTTTTAATTGAACATGATATTATCAACATAATTTGAGTGAAAATGTTAATTGAATTATTTTCTAAATACTTTTTTTTTTCTCTGAAAATGTTATTGCCGATTTACCTGAAGTAACTCCCAGATTTTAAATGCCTTTCAAAAGGCATATGGACTCCACTGTACGCATGAAAAGCAATGAAGAATAAGCAAAACTCTAAGCTCATAGTTAAAAGGACAAACTAAATCCCCACATTCACTTCCGTGTGCCTGCCCAGATAATATATGTTGGTCAAGTGCGGCTGCTCTGTGTAAGATCACATTCATCAGAGATATGAGCGAAGGTGTACACTCTTATATGAGCATCATATATTCATAAAATTGCCCAGAGAGTCAACTCATGCAGAAATGATCAATGGATCACTGTCTTTTTCACATCAAACAATATCTAAAAAATGAATCTTTGTGCAGCACTATGTGCCTAACTCAGATTTTATTTTGCCCATGTGTTGACATGCTTCCCAGCGGCATCACGCCCACATTCCAGATGCAACTCTCCAGTTATCGATAAAAACGATTCAGGAATGGCAACGGTCACCGGTATCTAGTATTTATGGTATGCTTGGTTTCTAAAGGGCATTGAAAACTAAACTAAGCTATTTTATCATGCTCGTCTAATGAATGCTAAGCCAGCCATGCTTTCAGCTAAGCATGAGTACATGGGTTGTAAATAAGTGACGTCCCACAGCGAAAAAAAGTAATGCCACGCAAAGGATAGTATAATGTACATGTATATTGTAAAGCTAACACTGTTTTGTAAACGCGTTATAGTTGTAAAATAATATGTGCAGCAGCTGTGTAAATATACCAACCGTAGGGATTGTGTGGGGATGGAGCCTGTCAGTGACAAGAGTTTGACTGCAATAGAGAGACCATCTCGTGGACCAACCCTGATCGATAACATCAAAGATTATTCATTAGAGTTCCCACTAAACTATTACAGATCATTTGTACTTTTTATTCATCTTATTCATATGAATTGATTTTTGCCGTTTACATGACAAGGTTCACAAAATTAACATGAATTAAGTTGCTGCAATATCATATTCAAATACAGTCTTAAATTGTTTTGATGCTGTTTGATTCTGTTCAAATTATTTAATAGGGACCTTTTCTTTGAAAACAAAATCTACAGAGGAGTCAAAAAATTTTCAGAGTATTACTGAAAATGAAAATGTTCCTATTTTCCATTTTATTAATTACATTTTTATTGCCAATTCTCTCTCTCTCTTTCTATATATATATATATATCTTAAATATATGCTCACATACCAAGCCTTTTCATTGGAAAAAAAAAAAACTAAAATCCAGAAAAGTTTATCAATTATTTTTTTAAATAGCAAATTATATTATCAACATAATTTTGAGTACAAAGTGAAAACGTTATTTCCAAATTTACCTGAAGTAACTCCCAGATTTTAATGATATGTATATTGCTGTTAAAGATATGCTCGCGTACCAAGCTTTTTCATTGAAAAAGATCTACAAAAAAGAGTCCAAAAATCTGAGCGCATTACTGAAAATGTTCCTAATTTGCATTGTATTAATTACATTTTTATTGCAAATTATATATATATATAGTGCGGCTGCTCTGTGTAAGTCGGGTTTGAAAGTAGTATCTCTGCTATTGAACACGCATAAAGCCCGGACTACACAATGAGGCGCTCCATCCCTGAAAGGCTTGGTGCCCTTCTATGCAACTGACCTGGTGGTTTGATATGCGATGTAGACTGTAATCACTGCCTTTTAGACACTGTGAATTTTTGGTACTCTATATTTTTGTATATTGTACATTGTAAAAGATAATAAACCTTGATGCCAACCTAGTCTAACTTAAGCTGTTTTGTCCTTTCCCAACTACTCCCACACTACATCAATCTAGGTCACCCCGTCTCCCGCAGAGTGAAAGGTAAGCGTTTTCAAATTGTCATGTTTTTCAATCCAATGTCAGGATGGTTATCATACACTCCCATTTGTATGTGTAGGGATTTGTTTGGCAGGCTGAGGGAAATTGGACCTAAATTCTGACAACACGCGCGCACCGTTTTCCCTTCACACAATCCCTCCTCTGAGAGAAAAATGGATGTTGGTCTTTGACATGATACAGTGTTTGCCTTTTTCACTCAAGACCTGATGGCATAAATATTGAAGTTGGCATGGCTATACATGATTTACCCAGTGAGCGTGAGGAGCTTATTCACTGCAAGTCTATCTCATTTTTAAAGAAGACGGTCTAGAGCTGATAAGAACTGGCTTTAAAATGAAGTCTCTTTTTAAATGGGTGTTTAGATGATCAATAATTTTAACGTATTGCATTTGCTCCATTCAGTCAAAGGAATAGTTCACCCAAAAACAAATTCTGTCATTTTCTGTTCACCCTCATGTTGTTTCAAACCTGACTTACTTTCTTCTCTGGAACACAAAAGTAGTAGTATTTTAATTACAGTACAGGCTGCTCTTTTCCATGAAGTTACAATGAACTAGAGCTTTGAAGTGGTTTACAAAAAAAAACATACGAAAAGTGTAGTCTTTCCAACTAATGTGCTATATTCCTAGCCTTTTTGTAAGAAAATCTAATTTAAGCTGTAACTCACTGAAAATATTAACCTCCAGTTCCACTGTGATTGGATCATTGAGTTGAATGCAATCAGATCAGTCCAGTTTGTGAATAAATCATTTTTAGGTTTTGTGAACTGGATCAAACTACGGTATTCATTGAAAAGACCTGACTCAAAAGAAAATTTCATTCAATAATTAAACATTGCTTTTTTTTTAGTGCCCAGGAATGGGGGGATGTGAAGATATTCAGTGAACAATGACTTCTGGTCAACACAGAGCTATTATGTGCATACAGAAGTGGTATGAACCACTTTTATGATGCTTTTGCATCCTTTTTGAAGTTTGAAAGCTCCATTCCCCATTTGGTCAAGTGACCAATTCCAGTCCATTACTAAGACAAATCCATTAAAAGGTTTTGCTTTCATGTTTTGAATGACATTAGGGCCCATAAATGGTGACAGCATTCATTTTTGGGTGAACTGTGTGTTCTGAGAGACCGAGATGTTTTTCCAAGCTCAGAGTAAATGATGTCATCTTCCCCTCGTAAACAATACATAAACCTACTGTTCCTCAGCATAAAAGCCAAACTTATCTAAATCTAGCCCTCTCAGTCCAGCAGGGCAACGCTTTGAGACGGAGGGTGAAGGCCAGACCCCGTTGCGCTTCAGCGGGAGGGCCTGGTCACTGCACAGCACTGCAATCATTTCAAAGTGGGTTTTATTGATGAGCACAAGGCTCCATCCATCACCCGCTATCTGCTGACAGACTGGCACTGACAGATAGATGACCACCACTGTCCTCTCCTGAGTGGCCAGCTGGCGTTATGCCAGGAAAGCACGGTATGCTGACGGTAGAGGCCGAATCTGCGGCCCATCAGGGAAGAGCAGTGGCGAGGAGCAAGACAGATGCTTTTGTGGGTGGTTCTGCAAACCTCGTGGAATCAATTTGTGCTGCTGTCGGCAGAGTCTGGGGCTGCATTTACACTTGGCATCAACATGCCACCTGTATCCGGATGTTGCCCACATGCACATTGAAAAGACAAGTGTAAACGCGCTTCTGATCGGAATGTTATCCGATCAGCGTGTCCTGGTCCAGAGGTAGTCGAGGACGCATTGTGATCGGATCTCTGTAATGTAAACGCAATCCAGCCATCATGTCTGCATTCGCAGGACGACATCACGCAAAACACCGCCCCCTCTCTCCCGATCTGTCGGAAGAACAGAGCGCCAGTGAGACTCGTACATTTATTTTGATTTGTAAAATGTCCCGCGACATTAGAAAACCCACCACTTCAGTTCGACTTTGCACCTCAGACTTATTTAAATATTGTGCGAGAAACACAGATCCGATCGGTTATCCAGATCGAGAAGTCAGCTGATGTTGCCAAGTGTAAACGCGCCGTGTCCTGATTGACTGATGATCTGATCTGCTTGATCCGATCACCGTGATCGCATGTTAATGCCAAGTGTAAACACAGCTGCAGAGTAATGCGTCTTCACCAGTACTAGACTGTAACTTCCCTAACACACCTGGTATGAAGGGTAATCCTCTCATAGTCTCACATGGAGTCTGAAAGTTGACGAAAAAGGTGATTACAAATCCATTGTCATTGTCTTGGAAATGTAAACTTTGGATTCATGTTGGTTTCATATACGTTATTTGGGAAGAAAAAAATTAGACAAACATTTTAAAACAAGTAAATGTCAAATGATGTC